TTTTAGCTCTCAAATTAAGGTCTTTGATCCATTTTGAGTTAATTTTTGTGCATGGGGGAAGGAAAAAGTACACTTTATTCTTTTGTGTGTGGTTGTCCACTTATCCAATTTGCTGAAAGACTATTCTTTTCCCGTTGAATTGTCTTGGCACCCTTGTCCAAAATCAATTGACCGTGAATGTGAGGGTTTATTTCTGGACTCCCAGTCAGCTCTGTTCCATCGATGTACATGTCTACCCTGGTGCCGTGCCACGCTACGCTATTTTATCTTGTACACACAGCTGGGTGTTAAGTTTTGAAACTGTAAAGTGCAAGTCCTCCCCCTTTGTTCTGTTTCAGAATTGTTTGGTTAATCTGATCCCACGAATTTCACAATCCGCTCTTCAGTTCCTGTGGGGCTGGTAAAGGGGGAAGGTTGGGATTCCGAAGGTTGGGTACCGCGCTGAATCGGTACCTTAGTTTGGGGGAGGGCTGCCGTCTGAACAGTGTTAAGTTCCAGTACATGAACACAGGATGTTTATTTATTCAGGTCTTCTTTACTCATGGCCTGCACCCCCTTCTGGGCATGCCCTTCGTCAGCCTCCACCACCAGACGGGCAGCTCCTGAGGCACAGACCCATACTGAGGGATTGGGGTCTCGGCCTCGCCACTGTCAGCAAGAAAGGGCTGCACCATTGTAAAGGCCCCCTTATTGGAATTTATTTTACTCAGGGGCCCACACGGGTGCTTGGTGTGAAGGCAAGAGGTTTCCGTGAGGACAGCCCAGGCTTATCCCCTGGGTCGAAAGAAGAGGCCCCTGGGCTCCTCTGCAGCTACTGAAAAGAAAGAGGCAGCTCTTCTAAAACGCTCCTGCCCAGCACAGGTGGTCAGCCATGTGTAAGAGCCACAGGTGCACTGGAAGCTGGTCCCAGGCACTCGGGCCTCGAGAAAGGTTCTGCCTCTGTGCACAGGAAGCAGGGTGCCCTCGTTGTCCCACCTTCAGTAACATGGAAGTATCTTAGCTCATATTTTTAACAGGTTTGACTGAGGGGCTAAAAAATCTAACCAGTTCCTCATGAACCTCTGGGTCCAGCAGAGGTGCCAGAAAAGCCCTGTGCTGGAGCTGAGCTGAAGAAGAAGGACGAAGACCAGGACAACAGAGGCCCCTTGCAGACGCGGAGCAGGGCTGCGACTCCCAGAGTCCCCACTGTGCACCCCCACAGGTTCTAGGGAGTGGCCTTACCCACTATTTGCTGGTCATTTAGTGGCTGTTAACTGGAACTTGACCTGCCTGAGCTTGTCAGTTCTTCCCAGCAGCCACGAGGCCCGTCCAGGGAAGAGATCACAACTCAGAAGATGAGAGGGTATGGGGTGAGCCAGTCCCAGCCAGGCCCCAGGCAGCTTGGGCCTCCCTGAAGACCCCAGCAGGCCCACAGCCTGTCAGTCAGAATTATAGTGCAGGTGCCTGCTGGTGCTAGTAAATATTCATGGCAGCCTCTGTCCCCTGGTGTCCAGGCAGGGGGCTTGACCCTGCTGGGCCAGGAAGCAGCAGCACCCCCGGGAGCCCGGGGTGGGGATGGGGGGCTGGGCCGCCCCTGCAGGGCACTGCTTGCCTCTGGCAGCCCCTCCCAGCTCCTTGTGGGCAGCACTCAGAGAAGTGGCCCAGGCAGCCGGAGCCACCATGGAGCTGGGCCCAGCTGTAGATACTACCCTTCCCCGTGGAAGCACCTGCTGACTGGGAACCAAACAAGATTGTGGGGCTGGGGCCACCCGATCATACACAGCAAGGCCTTCGGGCCCTCCTGCAAGCCCTGCTCAGCCTGTACCTTCCAGAAACGGGGATGGGGGGATGGGGGGGCGGAGGTGTGTCAGCTGCAGCTGCCGCACTTGTCAGAGGAAAGCCGAGGCAGCCTGGTGTCCCTGCCTGCAAGGCAGGTGCACGGAATCGAGAGTCGTCTGCAGTTGGGAAGGACGGGTCCAGGGGAGAGGGCTGGTGGACATTCCACAGAGACAAAAAAAGAATCTGAAGAAATACGCACTAGAGACGGTACTGGCCATCTCTAGGAGGGGGTCACTAAGACTTTCACCTTCTCTCGCGTCCATATTTCCGGTGTCCGTGCACAGCAAGCAGATTGTGCTTCATGAGAAGGAACTACAAGGGGTGGCCTTTCCCGAGGGTAGGCACTGAGCTGGTGCCCCCTTTCCCCACAGGCTACAGCATGTTTGCTGTGGGCATCGGGACCTTGCTGTTTGGGTACTGGAGCATGATGAAGTGGAACCGAGAGCGCAGGTAGGCCCCAGGCTGGGGACCGTGGAGTGCACCTGTGGTCTTGGTGTCCCTTGGGGCCCTTCATCAGCCCCTCAAGGCTCAGGAAGTATGGGCCTTCCAGAAAGAAATGGCAAGAAAGGAGCTCTTCACCAGGTATCTCTTGGCCTCCGCTGCTAGGGACTCGAGGGTTGGGATTAGGACAACCCATCAGGTGGAGGTGGAGGGCAGGCTCAGGACATGCTCGTTTAGTGGGTTTTTTGTCAGTGTTAACCAGGCAAAGAGGACAGTAAGGGCTTAGAAACAGGCCATGCAACACAATGACCCTGCCAGCCACATGGGGCCTGAGGGACCGAGGCAGATAGTGGCCTCCATTCAGACTCTCGCTGCCTCTAAGCTGTCAGGATGCCCTGCCAGGTGACCTCTTCTGATTGGCCCCTTACTGGCTGGGCCCCTTTGCCCTGCCACACCCTGTGATATGTGTCCTTAGCACCCCCCTTGAGCTCACTTGCCCCCCACAAGTCTGGGAATCCCCAAGGGTGGTGGTGGAGAAGGCCAGCCTGTGTCAGGTGCTCAACATTGTTGAGTGAGCTCAAACCGGGTCCAGCTGCCCCATATGCACCACCCACAGGAGTATGGACACGGTGACAATAGTGTGGGGCTGTGGTGGGGCCAGCAGCCTGGGGTGGGGATGCTCCTCTGGGTTTGGGAAGATGGGAGGAGGTGTGAGGGCTGGAGTGGGGGCTGAACTTCATCCAGACCCTTCCCTGTGAGGCTGTGAGATTTCTGGCGATGAGGGGACAGGGCCAGGGGCCACATCACTGGGTGCTGCGCCCTCAGTATAGATGGGGCTGGTGGCTTGGAACACACAGAACTGCCTGCCCCGGGCTCACACCCCAGGGTTATTTTGACAGGAAGGGGATATGGTTTTGTAGGGCCCAGAGCCCTGTGATGAAGGTCCCATCCCCTGTCCCCAGTTCACCACAATCATCAGGCCAGGGCTATTTTTAGGATTAAAAACTAAAGTTTTTAACTGAAAAGAAAGTGCGAAGCCATCAGTCTTGTAGGCCAGTGCCTGTGCCAGCCCACATGCCCACACCCCGCCTTCTCATCTTCTTGTGGGTAGAGCTTACTCCCCAAGCCTGCCCCACTCACTTGCCTCTCTGCCGGCTCCCCTCCCCACGCATCAGCCTGAGTCTGAGGCCACATCATCTACCCCGAACTCCAGCCTCATCTGATCTGACTGTTGGTTTTTGGGTTTCACAGGCGCCTGCAGATTGAGGACTTCGAGGCCCGCATTGCATTGATGCCACTGTTGCAGGCAGAGAAGGATCGGAGGTGGGGCTGCTGGGACCAGGGTTGGAAGGTCACAGGCCTGAGTGTCCCAGCCTGCAGTGCAGGACATGACAAAAATGCATTTGGGGGCTGACAGCTGTGTCCTGGCATATGCAGGGGAGACCCAAGGGCTAGAATAGGAAGGCTCCCTGGAGGAGGGGACATTGAGGCTGCAGCAGGAGGACGGTAAATGTTTGTAGGGGAAGGAAAGGACAAGAAGGGTTGGCACATGCAGGGTTGGGAGTGGCAGGAGGTGATTGGGATGGAACAGGGAAGGATCTGGCACGTCTTTTCGGGAGTCTCTCGGTGCTCAGGCCTGTCCCCTACCGCCCATTCCATCCCCACAGGGTTCTGCAGATGCTTCGGGAGAACCTGGAGGAGGAGGCCATCATCATGAAGGACGTGCCTGACTGGAAGGTGGGCCCTGGGTAGGGAGGGTGGGGGTCCAGGCCCCCTGCAGGAACACAGCCTCCCAGGGAAAACCTGGAGCCGAGAGGGGTAGTGGGTGCCAGGTGTGAGGAGGGGAAGGCAGCAGTAGGCAGTGTGGGCCTGAAGGGGTAGCTGCACCCCCACCCATACCCCACTGTTCCCACAGGTGGGTGAGTCTGTGTTCCACACAACGCGCTGGGTGAACCCCATAATGGGCGAGCTCTACGGGCTGCGCACGAACGAGGAGATTCTCAACGCCGCCTACGGCTTCACATGGTACACATAGGGGCCTGCACCCCTCTGACTACTGGACCCCTGCACCCTCCCCCCTGGAAAGAATAAATGCTCTGGAGACCTGTTTGCCTGTGTCCCAGCGACTGAGGGAAGGCTCGTGGGACACCATTGGGTTGCACACGGCCTGGGGATATAGGGTCTAGACCTGGGGTCTCTGCAGAAGATGCCAGGTAGGGTGGTTTCAAAACCCACCCAGAGACTGCCCCTGGATCCATCAGCCTTGGCTCAAGAATATGCCTGGATTTTCCTACCTCTATTGAAGTCCTCGTTGTCAGCAGCCCACCCCTCCAGGCCGGGGCTCCCCATCCTGCACCCTGGGCTCATCAGTAAATGGGGGATCTGAAGAGTGGAGCATGGGGTGGAGGGGTGTCAGAGGTAGGTCCCCTTGCCCCCAGGCCAAGACCCCATTACAGGGGTAGCAGGTCCGTCGCTACCCGTCCGTGCCTTGCCCTGCTAATACCCACGTCTCTACTATTCTCCATCCCCGAGGCAGCTCCGCTCCTGGCACCAAAGGGTTAAATCTGCCTGCACCCGCCAGCCAATCCCTGCGCGCAGCGCCTTCGCGGTATCACCTGATTGGCGGATACACAGGGTGGGCGGGAAGGGAGGAGGACCGAGGACGCCCCCATCTGCCCTGGGATGCTCTTAAAAGGCTGTGGCGGTGGCAGCCAGGCTGCGCGTCCCGGCTTACCTTGGCCATGAGCAGCGCAGCCCGCCCGGACCCAGTGGAGGCGCCCGAGGAGCGGCGTTTCCTCAGGTCAGCCAGGGATGGGGACGTCAAAGACCGTGGCGAGGATGCGGCCCCGAGGCAAGGGCATGGCTGGGAGGGGGGCATCATGGGCAGGATAGATCAGAGGAAGGGCATGGCCGGGATGGGGCCTGGGGGGATCCAAGGCCCACCCCGCATTTCGCTGGAAAGACGAAGCCTGAAGCCTGCTGCTGCCAACGTCTCCTAGCCGAGTTGCCAGGGAAACTGCATCCTCCTCGGCCCGCCCTTCTGAATTATTCAGAACACCACTAGTAGCTCTCCCATCACCCTTCAACCCAATCAAGGCCCACCTCTCCTTTCCATCTCACCCAGGGACCCTGGCGCTCCCACCCTCATCTCCCCGTCTTCCCTGGGAAGAGCTGAGCTGTTAGCTCCTCACTCACACCCCTCTTGGTGGCCCACCTGCGACTTTCTTGTCCAGAGAAGGAAACTGAGGGCTGGGGAAGGAAGCCACTGCCTGAGCCAGGGCTAGGGGGATTTTTGAACACATGGACCACTTGCCGGTAGTTTGGATTTGGGGTCTGAAATAGGCAGCTGTGGCTGTGTCTCCCACCTCGTCCTGAGTCCTCATCTTACGTCCTCCTTTAAGTCCTTGTGCCCTGGGACTCCAAGCAGGGCTGTGGACCTCAATGGAAACCAGATTTGACTGACAAATCTGTCCTCTGCCCACTGTCCATTCAGGCCCTCAGGGCAGATACTGTCCAGTGATTGATGTCCAGATTGAGCCTGTAGACCCAGCACATCCTAGGCAGAAGGAAGCTGGATCTGCGATTTCATCT